GCCGAAGCACCAATTCTGCTTTTACCATCTACTTCCCATCAGTGTATATTCTTACGCTTAACTGTATCATTCCTGTGTTAATAATGAGCATCTTCGGTTATCTCACTTATCGGAATATTCACTCAACGCGAGCGCTTGCTGAACAACAAGCGGATCGTCAATTGATGAAAATGATTTTAATTGAAACCGTATTAGTTATAATCAGTTACATACAATATGGAGTCAATGGCGCTTATACAGTAATCACTGCTGGAATGGTCAAAGACAGCAATCGACTAAGCATTGAAAATTTTGTTGCCACGTTGTCGAATTTGATGTGTTATTTATATTTTTCGGTAAGCTGTTTTAATTTTCAAGCTAAATTCAAATAAGGCTCATTTTTCTTCAGGGAAGTTGTTATATGTTTATGTTATCATCGAGTCGTTTTCGTGCAGCAGTCAAACGACTATTTTGCTGTCTGCGAGCAACAAATCAGATCAATCCAAATATCTAACGTGTAAATCAAGGAATAGATGTAACAATAACTTTGCGTTTCGTCTTATGTTTATTTACTCAATGTTTATACTCAGCTTGGTTTTGATTATAATAATAAAAGATATGGATAACCTGATTAACATTTCTCTTAAATGGATATGTTGTAAATCGAATAATTCTAGTTTTTACTATTTTGCGACGTTTCCTAAGGGGTAATTGGAGAAAAAATGTTTATTATTTAAAAAAACCCGTATTCTAATTATGTTTTAATGACATAACTGCGGGAATCTTTGAGTTTATGCCTCTTTTATATGAGAACAAAAGACGCCAACATCGCTAATCATCTGAATATATACTTTGCTCATAATCTGACGTGAACGATATTTGTCATTTAACGTATTTGTTATTCTTTCGATCTTTTAGCGAGAGCGTACACTACTGATTGATAGGATAAACATGAAGATCGCTGTATGATGTTTCAATAAATCCTGCTTTTCATTTTGGTGGAGGTGAACAGTAAACAAATGATCAAGGACACGCACTACTTTCATTGATTGCCGATTGTAAGGTGATGACGAGTCTCTCGATATAAAAGTGTATTTTTTAAAGTGGTAATCGAATTTTCGATTCTTTAACAATCCGCTGAATATGTCAACAGTGTTCGATCATGAGTGCACAGACGAAAGAGAAAAAAAACAAACGATTCGCTTCCAATGACGTGCGCATGCGATGCAAATGATTCTTTATTAAAAAAAGAAATGACGTAGAAACTTGGTTACTCGCATAGTAACGTCAAATATTAAGTAAAAAAATTCTTTACTCATTCTTAAAATTTACGTAGTTGCCTGTACGGGGTACATAACATCAGATTTCAGTTGCCAAACACACTCAGATCAACGAACGGTTGTCATCATCTATTATTAGATTGGAAATGAACCAAACACCAGGAGTAAATGTCGTAGGAACTCGAGCAACCGGCTCTTATCCCACAGCCTGCGTCTGCTGGAATTGCCAAAAACAAGTTGTTACCCGAGTGGAAAAGAAAAATGGTCTTTTAACATGGCTTATTTGTGGAGGCACATGTTTAGTCGGTTGTTTTTTCGGTTGTTGTCTGATCCCATTCTGCGTTGATGCATGCAAGGTCAGATGAGTTGTTTTTGAATGACTAGTCTGTAATTCTTTGGTTTTCTTTATTCGTATAGGATACAGTTCACATTTGCCCAAATTGTTCCAATGTACTTGGCGAACAAAAATTGATTTGATCACAAATATTTTTTTGATATTACATTTATTACGATGGAGTAATAATAAAGAATAAATGTTTAATGTAACTATTAGCGTATAACCTTTAGATGCTTATCTGTTGAACACAACTACAAAAGTTTGATCTAGTTGGAAGTTTGAGAATGCAAGGTTTATTGACGTGAAATGCTATCATTGTTTGAATCAGACACAATCGTCTACTGAGCAAGAGATTGAAGGAAAAGAAACTTGTTTATTGATGTTATGTTATACATAGTTTTATTAAGAAATATTTGAAAAAAATGAGAACATTCGCTAGTTTTTTTAAATCAAAGAAATATTCATTTTCACATATTGAAAATTTTATTGGGTGACGATCGGACATTCCTCCATTTAATACGTCACTTTGCCGCTTTGTAACTGAAAAGTCAATGAAAGTTGCTTACCTATTTTGATAATAGTGCTCAACCGTTGCGATCGCTTGAAAATAACCGGTTGAAATTTTTCGCATTGAGTAAACAGAATTCGCTTGAAGCAATGACTTTTATTACTGATTCAAAGTATACGTATTCCTGCATATTTTGATTTGCGATGAATTAATGTCGTTAATCTGTTTCCGTCATTTTACGATATCATGTATATATGCTAGTGTGGGTGCGAAGCGTTCATTTTTGTTTCGCGGATGTTGTATAAACAGGATATGTCATTTACGTATCTCAACTATAGGACATAAATCTATTTATAAGGGACCTGACTACGCGTATTCATTCGACTGGTCTATTTAGGTATAAATTTTCTAGACCGAGACTGCATGTTATGTATATTCTATTTTTTCCAATAAGCGTCCTTAATCACACTACAAAATCCATGAAACACTGCGGCAAATGGGCATGTTGGTTCTAGTTGGGGGCGGAGTTTCCTATCTATTAGATTATAACATGAAACTAATAATTGTTTATGAGCTGATTTTAATGTCTTTTGGTGTAAATTCAGCTTCTTTTTCACATATACTTCTCGATCTAATATGATTCCACAAGTTGTTGCTAAACTGTAGGTTCATAAACAACGAACTGATGAGATTGAGTCTACTTTATTGTGTCAACTTTCAAGCGTGTCCTGAAATCAAAAAGATTTTCTACCTTATTTTTTGTACAAAAGCTCCAATCTCGACATAACGATCGCTCACCCACTTCTGAAAGTGTGTATGATAATATATTATGAATTAACTTGTATATGAGATCTTCGTAATTTTCTGACTTTTTAAAATGACTACGTTTTACTTTCCTATGTCTATCTTTTGCTAAAAATATAATGAAAGGCTCTTACACTGATGCAGGGGGAGGGGCTTGAGCGTCATTTTCGTAACTCCACTGAAATCGAGAATATTTGTTTTTGTAACTGTCTCAGACTGAACGTATAGATAAGACAGCTACGTTAAAAAGACCTATATTTTTCTGCTCTTCTTAAACCTTACTTACACAAAGGTATACTTACCAAAAATCGACTCGTTATATTTTCAACAAAGAATTGAAATACGTCTGGAGGAGATGCAGTTCTATAGATAAAAGAATAAAAAGCGAGAATTGCTGCGAAGATCACGAAAAAATCTCGTTGTCACCAGATAAGATAAAGATTGAAGCTATCGACTTCGGACTGAACACGTCACCGGGAATCGCTATATGAGAAGATCCACTTTAGTCGTCGTACGGTTCTTTATTAATGCATTAATTAATTAAATTATGAGGCCATCGAAAAAGTCCATCTCTATGTTTGCACTTCCTTAATTCAAACGAGAAATGACGGTAAATGTTGTTGGATGAAAATAAATAAAATTTACATTACCATTCGATACTGAAGTTTACACATAACAGTCCATATGGTGTAGAAATCCTGCTCGGTGATCTAATCAGTTTTCGACGAAGCGACATCTAACACATGAAAAAATGATAGTACAGCTGTATCACTGTGTTTGTTAAATGTAATGCATCCATGTATTCCACTGCGATCAAATAGTCAGTAACGATTCGAACCGAGAGAATTTTGCAAAATAATGACAATACTTTGCTCCGTTAATTTATCGGAAGTACGTAAACGTTTTAGATTTGCAGCCAAATGTTTAATCGATAAGTTCCGCGACGGTTACATTTAACATTAATGTATTCTATATAAAAGAAAGAGTTTTTTATGAACTTAATAATTCAATAATTTTTTTCCGATGTTCAAACACGTTTTTACCGAAGTACGTTACATTCAAATGTGAGCGAATCAATCTTGAAAGATTCTTCTGTGTGTCGTGTATGTAAAAAGAGGACTTCATTGAATAGATCGCCAAGAACTATCGGCCACAAACCAATAATAACTCTTGTAAATTTGGCAAAATCGTTGATAATTCTTAGAAAAAGCTGCATGAAATCTTGGTGAATAGAGCCTGATAGGAGAACTCAGATAATTTGAGGATGACGATGGTGAATCGTCTCCATTGTAATCTAACCACTTTCATTCATTAAATTTAAAATCATCTTCAATCGAATGAAAGTTATGAAGTTTTTATAGAAAGTAAATGACTACTGACGACATCTTCTACAGCAGAAGTTTAGTTGATATTTAACGATATAGTTCGCTTGTGTTTAATAAGATATGGTTTAGGCTTTGGAAGATTATATAACGAATAATACCCTGAATGCAGAAAACATAGTGATTCCTAACACTAAGTTCGTTTGACGAATTAGTAGCTATCGTGTCAATTAGGGATGAACCATTTAGTTGAAAGCGAATTCATGAGCTGTTATTAACGAAAGAATGATTCTGCTTCAGAACACCGCTAATTCTATCAGTAGAATTATACGAACGATCAAATTTTTTATATTCGATTGTAATAGACTTTTGTTCGCAACGAAATTCTTTCTTTGCCGCCATTTGGCAATAGGACTCGTTATTGAATTTCTTACATAAGTAGGATGCATTCGTCACACATAGAGCTTAAAAGGATGATCGAGTGTTAGAGAAACAATCACGATAGATCAATAGAAAGCGTACTCAAGACATTGGTGTCACCAAATTCTGGCCTTGGATTCGAAATATTTATTTTTATCGAGCTCAGAATTTGTTGAGCCTGGTTAGCTCTAAAAGTCAAGTGTTAATGAAAACTTTCTCGTCTATAAATCTCAGTATCCATATAGAATATTTCCTAAGGCGCATATGTTTGCTGTTTTTCCATGTTCAGTTCTGTCTTTGTCGGATTTGAATCTCACCCAGGTCTAGAGTGACACAATATTCATAACATGAGCGTCGACTTAGTTATGCAAAAATAATTACAATAACATACAAATTAGCATTATTACCATTACATTAATTAAATGTGTATTAACAGCTAAGCGAAACCATTTACTGTCAAGTGTAGATAAACGCAAATGTATCACCCATTGATTTAGAATTTCAGAGAAAACGGTAAGAAATCATCTCTTTATCCAAGGTATAGACGTCATACTTTCGTGAAGCAACGAGCATGCCCTCACTTACGGTTATATCGCAAGAGATAAGTATTTACTTTGGTATATTTGTTTTTATCACTGGTACTATTGGCGGTTCCTTCAATATCATTGTGTTCCTTAGTTTGAAAACATTTCGTGAGAGTGCCTGTGTATTTTATCTAACGATTCTTTCAATTGTTAATATTGGAATACTAATCACTGGGCAACTAACACGTATCTTAATAAGTGGATACAATATTGATTGGACTCAAACATCATTATTCTATTGTAAATTTCGAATATATTCTCTACAAACATCGACATTGATATCAATGACATGTATCTGTCTGGCGATCCTCGACCAGTATTTTTCAACATCGTTGCCAATAAGATATCGACAATTAAGTCAAATCAAAATAGCTCACCGCATATGTGGATTAATCGTATGTTTCTGGGCTGTAGTCAATTGCCCATATTTGATTTATTACACACATATTCAATCTTCTTCAGTGCAGAATCAAATAACCTGTTCGACAACTAATAACGCTTTCCTACAATATGTTAATTATGTTTCGGCTATTTCATTAGCAAGAATTATGCCATTGATTATCATGGGTATATTTGGATTTCTATCTCACAAAAATATCCAACGATTATCTCACCGGACACTACCAATCATTCGACGCGAACTTGATAAACAATTGACTCTAATGATATTTACTCAAGCTATTGTTGCTTGTTTGATTATTTTGCCGTATATAGTTTTGTATTTTGTTATGATGATACCAAATTTGGATTCGAATACGTTGACACAGCTAAAATTTGTTTCGTCGCTCTGTTCAGCGATTTACTATTTATATTTTTCGGTAAGAGCTTTGAAATTGCTTCAAGAGTAACAAAAAAGGTTTTCAAATACAAATTTTAGAGTCCATTTTATATTTATTTCTGTTCATCGAGTCGATTTCGTCGACAGTTGAAATATGTGGTGTTCGATATTTATGTTCGTCAATGCCGACCACAGCAGATTCATCCAAATCAAATCGCTCCTCAGATTTCGTAGTCAAAATAAAGCGCGGATATCGGAAAAGGACGTTTCCATCTGTCAACTCATGCATAAATGGTTACTGCATTCGTTTAAGTACTCGCATTTATTATAACCCAAGAAGAGAACTTTCGCTTCGTTTTTATTGGAAAAGGAATCTTTTTATTAACTAAATAAATCTCCAGAATACTTTCTTGTATTTGATCGAAATTTTTATTTATCTTTCACCTTATAAGCTGACAACGATATTCTCTTCGAAGCGCTTTCGATTTCTCGTACAAAACCTGACACTTTTGTGTAAGTAAAGAAGTCACAATTTTTCAGTAGATTTTTTTATTAAACGTAATTCAAAACGGAAAAGAATACTTTTGAATCAAATGCAGAAATACAGTCTAGTTCTGTTGAATATGCTGATCATTTCTTCAACCAGAAGCATGAAGATTTATTTCCGACTTTATCTCGAGGATGCGATGAAAGGTTGAGTAGAACACAACTTCAAATAAAAAAGGGTTTTCTTTAAACTAGTTGCAGCGTTTCATGCGACTACTTTAGCTTTATATTTTTGCTTTGTGAAATCCGGTAATAGCTTATTCGACCTCAAGAGATAGGATTTGATTTAAATTTTATCATTAGAGCAGAAATACATACTTTAGGTTTGAGTACTTCACGAGATTCAAGCATAAGGAGCGGCACAATATAATCGTTTTCCAAAATCGCATTAACGGTTGCATATATTGAATCAAATGTTCGTCTAATGTTTATTTTGTTCCCTCTGGTGTTAATGTTTCTTGAACGGCGACAACAATTGAACTTTGACATGCAGCTTGATTCTACAAATAAACAAGAAAAGATAGATTTTACGTTTTCAAAGTTTCGCTCATCAGTGGTGCATACGTTTGTTGGCATTATCATATTCATTGTTTGACCTTCAGTTTGAGATCACATTCTGCTAGCAGCCGCCGTTGCTGGCCACCGTCGTCCAGTTGATCGGAAGGCTGGCATGGCTGTTAGTGGAAAGAAGAATCCTGTTTGTGATGGGCCCGTCAGTTTCAGTAAGTAAGACATCACACCAGGCATGCCGCACATGTGCCGTTACGATACGTTGCGTATGATGATTGGTTAAATACAAGCGACATTCTTCTTCACGCTGAGCTAAAGCAACCTAAATTGATTTCGAGCCAACGAGTGAACCGATCTTTTTCGTAATGGCTTTTGTTCCTTCATCCGGTGCACTGAAATACACGAAACCGAAATCTTTTGGTCGACCAGCTTCATTTGTCATGATATAAAGAGAAACATTTTTGGTCAAGCTGAAGATCATCTTGGATATCTACCTTGGATGATACGATGTTACTAAACACCGAAAATGCATCGTAAAGCGATTTGTTATCAATATCATCACTTAAATTCTTGACAAAAATATTTACACCGCTTGATTTACGTAGATCAAGATCACATTGAGGCCACATAATGCGTAGTGGACTACCATGAAGTACAGCAAAATTCATCATGTCAAGAGCTCGTTGGGCTAAAAAACAAGTAACAACATAGCCTCGGTAACATCCAAACTCACCAACATACAATGAAGTCTTAGGATAAGTCGGACACTAGCCTGAACTATGGAAGATGCATTATCATCGGTATCGATTTTCATGTCGTTCGATATCGTTATTGGATTTGTACCATCTACTTCTAGAATCAGTAGAAAGCTGACAATGATTTGGAAAGTTTTTTTAACGAAACATAAGTCCGTTGTCAATTTACATCGTGAACAGTGTGCGTGAATGTCAGGTATGATCAAGCACAATATTTTTACTGATTCGTGCCTCCTAAGATAGAATTAACTTACTAGGTAAATCAACTGAAACTTCATAAACAGATTGTAACAATGCATCTTTGTTAATTAAAATATCTTTCGGCTTATCCAGCTCGTCAGTTAATTTGAGCAAATTCCTTTTTAAATGTTCAGTAACACATTTTCGACATTCTTCTGCTTTGTTGTTGAATGACTTTAATCGAATTTTCCCCCAATGATTAATCTTTTTCATTCACAAATGATCTCGAGAAGTTTGTTCCTTTTGTCGCAATGTACGATGAAGTTGATTATAATCATCGATAATCGTGTTTCATTCTTCATTTAAATGCTGTAGACAGAACTCATTTGAGCATCCTTGGCATGGACATGTTACAGTCTTACGGTTTCTACGCATGTAACATAGTGTTGTTGCGTCGTTCGTTGTTGTCGTCATGTACAATAAGAAAACTTGAAAAGAATGAAATGTTCCTACATACGGGAAGGTAATTATATTCCGACAAAAATAGAAAGTAAACAAAACAAAAGCGTGTGTAAGGCGTAGCTAAAGCAAAAACCGAGTCATTCTTTTGCCCCGTTATTTTTTTCGTAGTTTGATATAATCGTTAACATCATAAGTAAATTAACACAAGTTATTCAGATGAACAGAGGGTTTAGCCACAGAAGCCTTTTCTTTTGACCTTCAAGTACTTATAATTGTGTTTATCATCAACCATTGCTTATCTATCTTGAAATGGAATCTTTGAAATGTATTCTGCGTCTATTTCTTTGACAAACTCAATAATCGTTATGTTTTCAACTGGAGAACTTCGTAAACTTACGTGAGCAACCTCTGATATAAATATACTTTTTCATATGTTAATATTTGCCCAGAATCGATTGCAATCAACTTTGTTTTCTCTTGGCAAACAATCGAAAACGTATGTCTACTGTTGGCGTATTCTGTAACATTTCTGTTTGTACTAATTATACACACGAAGTATACAATGTGACAATCTGCCGAAGCATGATTTCGCAAATATCGAAATACAGATCTGTATCAATTGCATTCACCGGAATTACAACATTTGAACACAAAGGACTCATACAGCTACTCTAGACGTCTTTTATAACAGACAATTACGGCGATTCATGAGCTTATGGGAACTTTCATTTATCATTGTTTTTGTACTTGGTCATTTTCAAATAATTCGAAGTATATTCGAACGATTATCGTCTTAATCTTTTGTTTTACTTCGAATGCCTTTTTATTATAGGTCGTACACGCATACAGTTCAGGATGTGTCAATACAGCCAGTCGAGATAATAATACCTAACTCCTCAATACTTTTAATATTATCGTTGTTCTTGTATCGAACGAAAACACAACTCAATGACATTTGCAATCTTTCGACATTCTGAAATGCTTCTTCAATCGTCATTTTCCTCTTTACTTCATATACATGCAAACGTATCATACGAGAAAAAGTCAAAGTCTCAGGCAACAGTTCGATAAACTTTCTTTATTATACAACTCATCATCCATTCAACAACTGCAATCATGCTGCAAGCTACGATTGTCGAAATGAAACATGATATTCCACTAAAAATCGAATCGTCAAAAGAAAAGAAAATGCCAGGATATACCAAAGATCTCTTCATGGCCAACATGAATCGACGATTAGCTGTACGGAAACTATTACATAATCGTCTGTAAGTTAATCAAACCTTCGATTTCTTTATTCGCCACAATCATACTCTTCTCGCTCAAGATCAATCACAACTGATGTCATGTGTGCAATTAGTATTGTTAGTATTATTCTGATGATTATTGCGAACGAGATTGCTTTCAATCAACCAGGAGAGTTCGATACCGTTGCAGGCTGGTTTGTCAAGCTTATCATTACCATCTTAACTGCTGTTCTTCTCATTCTTGTTCTTGTCTATCATCGTCTTGACCTTGATCTTTATTCTATCAATAATTCGATTGATAACTGGTGTGTTGGACTGACACATCAACGATTATTCATAGTCGTCGCTGAACTGATGATTTGTGCAATTCATCCAATGCCACGATCGTNAGGAGAGTTCGATACCGTTGCAGGCTGGTTTGTCAAGCTTATCATTACCATCTTAACTGCTGTTCTTCTCATTCTTGTTCTTGTCTATCATCGTCTTGACCTTGATCTTTATTCTATCAATAATTCGATTGATAACTGGTGTGTTGGACTGACACATCAACGATTATTCATAGTCGTCGCTGAACTGATGATTTGTGCAATTCATCCAATGCCACGATCGTATCCAACTAACAGCCAACTAGTTCGAATACAACCAAACACGAATGCAACAGAAACAAGTCCACATAGTTATTCATATGTATCGATTGATGCTGCGCTCGGTTTGCCAAGTGAGTAGAATTATTTTAATTACTTGAAGTAGTACGCTTACCGGTTAAATTAGTGTTCTTTCGATTGTACCTGCTATTTCGCTGTTTCATGTATCACTCGCATTTGATTCGCAATTCTGCAACTCAATCACTAGGCTATCTCAATCAAGTTTCAATGAACTTCTCATTCTTTTCCCGTGCCTATATTAATCGTTGGCCAACGCGATGTTTATCGTCATTCTGTATTTTGATATTTTTCGTCGGAAGTTGGTGTTTACGAGCTTGTAGTTATCGATCGAATAACGAACATTTATCGATGGGTGATGCCATGTGGTTGTTTTCTGTGACATTCACTACGGTCGGATACGGAGACTTGTATCCGTCAACGTATTGTAGCAGAAGTAAGCTTTGAATGATAATAAGAGATTCGGATAGAAAATAAAATTATACACACGATGTTTTAGCTGTAGCTATTATTATATCACTCATTGGTCTCTTTGCAAGTGCATTGCTGATCGCGGTTCTCTCACAAAAGCTATCACTCGATCGAGCAGAAAAGTACGTTCATGGTTTCGTTATTGGTATTCAACTAGCAAAAAGATATGAAGCACAAGCATCGAATACCATCAAATTTGCTCTCAAACTATGGGTGTTGAGGCGCAAAGGAAAAACACATTCTGTACGGTATCTTTTCACAGAGCAGAAGTTTTTTCGTTCAATCAATATAAGCAAAGAGATCAAACAAGAAAGAAAACGAGTTACGGAAAGTTTAGTCAATCAAACCGAAATATTCACGATGCAACGTAGTGGAAATGAGAAAATCGANGAAGCACAAGCATCGAATACCATCAAATTTGCTTTCAAACTATGGGTGTTGAGGCGCAAAGGAAAAACACATTCTGTACGGTATCTTTTCACAGAGCAGAAGTTTTTTCGTTCAATCAATATAAGCAAAGAGATCAAACAAGAAAGAAAACGAGTTACGGAAAGTTTAGTCAATCAAACCGAAATATTCACGATGCAACGTAGTGGAAATGAGAAAATCGACGCAGTCAATATTGAAATGAATGCAATGAAAATGAAAGTCGAAAAAATCGAAGAACAACTGGTTGAAGTACAAAAGATAATGAATAACATACAAAACGGACTGAATGATTTGCTCTCTAATGTCGCACAACAAAGACGCTCATAGCGAGTAAATATCAAAGTCTTTGAATTTTGTATACTCATCTTCTATAAGATTAAAATTTTAGTTAAGCATTAAGAATGATATATGAGTGTATCAATGAGTTAACTTGTCTTTGTGTCATAGACTGTGACAAATATTAAACGAAATCGGAGATTTTGTTGTGAAAAATATATATTCATCAGCGAGACGATCAATTACTCTTTTCCAACATATGAGATGTCCTTATATTCATCAAGATGCATTATCGTGTGCGATCAACAGTGAATAATGAGTGGCGACAATGTCGTCGACTGTTCGTGAGGCTAATCTCATTTCTTAGAACATCATGTAAGAATAAACTTAACTTCATGGTACATACTGTCATCTCTACCTACTCACGAACATATACTTTATTGTTCAAAAGTTGATATAAGTGTTTTCTCGAATCTGACGATGTTTCAACGATGTTAAGGGTAAAGTTCGTGATGCCTGCATGATCGAAAATAGAAAAGAAGTACACTTCTTATTCGATGACATTAATGGATCACAAGCAGAAACGAATGCAGGTGTTGACACAATGAAAATGCCTTTGGATTTGAAAACGAAATGACGTAGATGCATAGTTACTGACGTCAAATTTAATCTACAAACATCTTTTTTTTGCGTATGTGCGTTGGTGTTTTTGATAGATTATATACACGATTGCAGTTTGTTTTTCAGTTATTCATTATACATTCGCATTAACGGTCAATTGTCACTGTTTAGCAAATACAATGCAAGCCGGATCGAATGCTGTTGGACCTCGACCCACTGGTTCCTATCCCACAGCTTGTGTCTGCTGGAATTGCCAAAAACAAGTTGTTACTCGTGTGGAAAAGAAAAATGGTCTGGTAACATGGCTCAGCTGTGGAGGTTTAGTTCTGTTCGGCTGTATTTTTGGTTGCTGTTTGATTCCATTCTGTGTAGATGCATGCAAGGTCAGTCGAATTTTTCCTTCCGAATATCTGATGTGTTTTATTTGGTGTTGTGTAGGATACTGTGCACATTTGTCCGAATTGTTCTACAGTTCTTGGCGAACAAAAAGTACTCTGATTGAAAACATTTTTCATTTTTCGTGTCATAATTACACAATAAACGAGAAGAGTTTGATTTATTTTCATCGTTCTCTAACAATTCTGACACGATTACTGGACATGTAGACGATATGAGTATTGTTGATTCGTTGAACAGTACATTGTAAACACAGTAAGATTTTGTTAAGCTTTGCTCGTAGTTCGGGTAATGACGCAATGGTAAAAATCGGAAAAAGAAGAAATGTGTAATAACTGACAAATATCATTCGTAACGAGAATTCTGATCCGACAGATGTCGACATGCCACAAATGTGAAGAAATTGTATTAACATCGGAGGAAATGGTAAAACCAAATAAAGAAATGAAATAACTAGAATCTGAACTATTAGTTTTCGATATCGTCGCCATTGAACAGGCTGTTGTACACGATGTTTTTGGTATAAAACACGAATGAAAAGAGCTATGCTAGAGAGAATAATCGTGAAAGTAGGAATGATTCCATGAGCGATGAGATCATACAGAAAAAGTGTCGTGTTTCGAAATGCACATGGGAAAAAGCCTGGCCGAATTAAACGACTGAAGTTGTTGATACAGGATGGAACGAAAAACACAAAAGTATAATAGACAAAACAGTAAACAATCACGAAATATGGCGGAAGATAATGAATAACTAGTCGTCGGCGTCTGGTTGTAAGTAATCTATCATGAAAAATGAGAATGTGCCTTTCTATTGTAAACCAGGCGTAGAGAAGAATTTGAAGTACATAGATTTGCCAATCGAAATATCCCCAAACGAGACGTGACATTGGTGCGATAAGAAAAGTTCGAAATGTATGAAAATAATAGATGAAATAAGAAATATTCATACTATTGTAGAATAGATTAATCAGAAGAAGAACAATTAGCGTATAGCTATGGCATTCTCGGCGAAAATTTGGATCAAGAATTAGAGAATATAGAGCAAACAAAGATGCAAGGATCGATGGAACAATCAGAGAGAGCAATATACAAAACTGAAATGAGTAGAACCGCTGTGTGTTGTCATCAAACACTGCAAGATCTTTTGCGACTAACATGGTGTGAGATATGAATTCAAATGTCTTTCGAGCGATGTAATGCTGCTGAATAGATCTAATTAAAAAACGCGTTTTACGGAATATTTCTAGTATAATATTTAACGCTCCAGTCAACAATCTCGTTAATTTAGTTTCAGAAAAAGATAATAACTAATGTCACAGCATTAGTTTTCATTAGAATAAAACAACGGAGAATTCTCACTCAAAGTCTTCAAGGAAATGAGACACATAGTAGGAGCGAGAAGCCAAATAGTTTATAATTATGTCGCTAGTTTTTATCCTTCATACGCACAAGGAAACCATGAATCTATTAAGATCATAAAAATAGGGACGCATGAGTATAGTTCGATTGAATATATCTCGAGTATGAAGAATTAATATCTGATAGAATTATTCTTAATTTTTCAGATAAAAATCTGTCCTATTCTACGTATGATGTTTATCACTATATTCAACAGCAGCATTGTGCCATTTTGTTCAAGATTATCGTTTTCTTATAGAATTTTCTGTCGAGTTATATTATAACATCAAGGTAACAATGTGAACGCATCTTCAATCATTCTTCCTTCTCACTTGAAAATGGAAAATATTGACACCTATGTGACGTATCACGAATATTCTCATAGAAGATATTTTACACGATGGCGTCTATACTAATACGCCATCTTCTATGTTAACGATTCATCTGGGGAAATGTTTGTCCAATTCGGTTTTCGCTTTATTCGTCATCTTTCGGTAAAGGTGTATTTCATTCGTGTTTTGATCGTACTCGCAGCAGGTTGAAACACGTTTTGCAATAAAAGTAATCAAACAGGTTATGGGGGACGACTTGGGTGAATATCATCCATGTTATGGAGAATTCCAATGTCCTTGCTGTAAGAAACAATGGAAAAGCACCAAAGCCTGGGCTAACTATGGTCAAAACTGTAACAACTGTGATACATTGGTTCACCCGAAAAATCTATCCAAGAATTACACTTATATCTGTGACAATTGTCATACGTTGCGGTATTCACGTTATCACGACCCAGGATTAACATGTGAAAACTGTGATTCAGCTGCTACTATTCATCCACGAGATTTTGATGACAGGAGTGATCGGAAGTTTATTGAAAATCACAAAATGAAATACAAAGATTTGCTGCGCCCTCCAAATCCGAATGGTGAACATATTGAAAGTTTATGCGAGAAGTGTCGGAGTTTAGGACGGCCCTGTCGTGAAACTGACGATAAAGAGAACATAAGAGCACGAAATCGTATATCCAGTGATGATGGTGATAACATCAACAGTGCATTTGTAAGTATTCTATTTTATGTAGTATGGGAAGATTTGAGACTGGCGCCCATTCTAATTTTGCTCGATAAAACAACTTTCTGGCGACACTATACGAAAGAAATTGTTACTTCTTAGTGAGCTTTTCCATGTAATAATTCCAGAAAATGCATTTTGAATTTTTTAATGAGAATCGTTAAGATACAAATCACCAATGTATACTATATAATATTTTCTGTAGAATAATGATCGACTGCCAGACATTTCGCAAGAAGAAGAGCGTAAGCCATTTATCTCAAATAACTATACGCTTGTCCAAAAGAACAATCCGTCCAATAACCATACGCTTGTCCAAGAGAACAATCCGTCCAATAACCATTTTTATTTGAAAATTAATAACACACAGGTAATCGTTCATCCGCCAACATTACAACGTCGTCACCGGGTTACAAAATCAAAGATCATTATAGGATACATTTTGTGCGTTTTATTACTAGCAGCTGTTGTGATCATTTTACTTATCATGAAACTCAACTGGACCAAGTCAATTCCGACAGCAACCAGAGTAATAGGAATCCGGAAAACCACTATTCGTACTACTACCACCACAACAACTACTACTACCACTACTACCACCACTACCACTACTACTACTACCACTACTACTACTACCACTACTACTACTACCACTACTACTACTACTACTGCTGCTACCATCGCTGTAACACGTGTTAATTGGTTTGAATCGCAAGTATCACGACTAGAAGCAATCAGAAATAATACAGCATCCAAGTTGAAGCCGGCTGTCGAAAGTGTGGATAATTGGTTCCAGTCTCAGATATCGCGTGCCAAGGAAACGGGAAATGATGTTGCATCTAAATGGCGTGCAACTGCACCATGCTTCTCTTCAGACACCATGGTCACTCTTGAAAGTGGAAAGCAAGTGTCTTTGCATAGCTTACATGTGGGAGACCTAGTTCGTATCAATCCAAGCAAGTTCGGCTCTGTGTTGGCAATTTTTCGTCATCGCCGTTCATCTGTTTTATTGATCGAAATACATTTAAACGATAATATAAGTAAACCTCTCCGTCTGACACCAGCGCATTCAGTTCTTGTACGTAAAGCTCATGACGAAAAGGAACAATATCGTTTTGCTCGTGATATTTTTGTGGGGGACTTTATTTATTCCACGTCAATCAATCGAATGGTTGAAGTCGTTCAAATACGGCAAAGTATGGAGGTTGATCAGTATCTGTATGCGCCATTAACATTTGAAGGCACAATTCTGGCAAACAATATGACTGCTTCATGTTATGCAACATATCCTCATCGACTGATGCATCTCATTACGACGCCACTTCGGTGGTGGTATTGGTTTTTGCTTCAGTTACAACCGACTTATCTGCATGAAATGAGCAGTTCGATTTGTGTGCAGTTTGTCGACTGGTATTTGGCATTATTTTCAGTTGCTACCTACTGAAATAGTTAGATCCAGAACGTGAGTGACGAATACGACTATATGGAACTGTCGTTTTTCTTTTTTTTTCTTGTTTATTCATAAGAAAAACAGTGCGAAGGCATTTTAGATGATAAGAAATCAATTATTAGCTTGTAATGAGGATAATGCTTCCTGTTCTTTATTCCATTGAGCAATACTAGCATGAATTGCATCCCAATCGATTGTTGTGGGGAAAACAATGGGTTGAACAGGACATGGTGGAAAGATACAAATGAATGACATTCCACCAGGACCTGTTAAGCCACTGAGATCAACTGGACCACGACGTGCACGATCATGTTGTGGAAAGGCGGTTGATAATTCCACAGCAAGCACCATGAGACAAACGATTGCAACGATGAAACGCATGTTTAAAAACGATAAAGAATTGAAAAAAAATGAATAAATATATATGGAAGGATAGTATCAGAAAAGAAACTGCGTGGTATATGTGATTCTAGACATATGGTGAAAATAAATCCATGATATAACATTTAAACTATTCACTCAGTGCAAGAACCGCTAATATGCACTGTAATTCCAAGATTCTCAAACAAGTACATGGTCTTTCGTCTACTGTAAGACGAAAGTAAAAGCAAAAGATCAATAGTGTATATGCATGTGTATGAAAAAACAAGTATGACGACACAATCAAGGTTATTCTTTTTCTCTTGTACTGTTTTGAAGTGAAAAACAACGCGTGTCATACTGAGTCAGTTTAGTCTTACACACAAAAAACACAGTGTTTACATATTTTGATGGGGAGTTTCCCTGGTGTGCTCAAAAGCTTTTTCGCGTCATTTATTTTTGTTGTTGTCAGAGATCTTCAATGGTGATATCTGCAAAAATTCTGTGCACGAAAGTGATATATAAGCAAACGAAGAAAACGTTTATTTCATTCGACTGTAACTATAACTTCTACACATATAATAAACCATATCATCATGCGATTGGCTATCGTTCTCGTCTGCTTAACATTAATTCATTTTGGTCATGGAAGACAATATTTATGCGATTCAACTGCTAAGTGTGGTTGTTCAAAGAGGCAGTCAATGCTTAGTAGAGTCATTAGTGAAAATATGAACAATGATATATATTGGGGATGGATTGTTATTATAAAAAAGGCGGATCAATAGGTTTGTGGAGGATCAATTATACCAGATTCGTGGATTCTCACGTCAGCTAGCTGCGGCAGGGAAATACCTCGTCAACTTCTAAGCGTGACTGTTGGGTCAAGTAATGCTCAATCTAGTACACAAACACGTCCAGCAGCTGAGATTATTATACATCCGAATCACAATCAATCATTTTTTATAAATGATATTGCTTTGATTCGTTTGGAAGCACCTTTAAATACGGATGATTCATCTATAGCACAAATATGTCTACCAGCGGAAATGACTGGAAATTATTCATCAGACAACTCATCGGTTAGTATTAGCAGTCTCTATTGAAGTGTGCATAGAACGATCTTGTAATGCTTTCTAGTTAGTCGCTCTCAGTTAGGGAGTTCCAACTGGATGGCGACGATTGAGTGTCAAAGATAAGGCTTACGGCAAACTTCGAGAAGTTCCAACGACAGCTGTTTCAATTGACAGTGAAGATTGTCAATCAATAATCACTGATGCTTCAACACAATTATGTGCTCAAGTCGTCAAATCCAATATAGGTAAATCAATAACGTTTATCTTACACTATGTTATATTTCAAGAGATTAATTCTGTATACATTTCATCCAGATACTTGTACCGGTGATGCAGGTAATCCATTGATGGTTTACACGTCGAGTAGACAATGGATTGTTGTTGGACTTGTTTCATTTGGTATCCTATGTGATGGGTAAGTATTACGTTAAGAACATAAGGTGATTTGTAATGTTGAATCTGAATTTTAGTCAATATCCTAGCGTTTACACGCGTGTCTCCGCCTATTTGGATTGGATCAAATTGAAGACCGGGATTGACTCTACTGCGAAATAAAACATGAGATCCCAAACATGCCACTGACGTTCATTCTCTATTCTTTTGTATAATTATTCTTTTATCTTGAAATAAATTTTTCGATATCCTTTTGTCATCATTACGATGCAGATTTCTGTAACATGGAGTCAATAATACGATGAAGTGTAGACTTCAGGACATCAATATGCTTAGTCACCTTCGATATTTAATTTCGTCTCATATTCAACAACGTCAATGATAAATACAACGACTACACGCGGGATACAACAGTACTGTCTTACTAACAATATTGATTTAACATATCAGAAAAGATCGTATTAATGCTATTTAATCTCTCTCATAAATTGTTTTTCCTCCTCATATCCTATATACATATATATATATAAGGACTCGATCGATTAGCGAAGAGTGCAGTGACTGCATACAACATTTTTCGTGACATGATGATCCCAACATATTTCTACACCGTCCTCATATTCATCAAAATCGTAACCGGTTCAGCTTCATTCATTGCTGATCGAACGACGGCACAAACTGTCCTAATTCGTCCTGGCATTAGCTATGAATATATTCATATCAATGCGACAAACGATAAGCCAACTATATTATTTCTTCATGGTTTTCCTTCATCGCTTCATTCCTGGCGTCACCAAACGAGATACTTTTCTGAACAAGGTTATGGATGTCTCGTACCCAACTTAATGGGCTATGGTAGAAGTTATTCACCATTAAATCGAAGTGAATATACAAGTAAAACGATAACCGACCATCTCATTATTCTACTTGACCGTGTGGGTTTGGGTGATTCAAGTGTATTCGTTATTGGACATGATTGGGGAGCGCGCACAGCAAGTCGATTCGTTCTCTACCATCCTGAACGAACGATCGGTGCTGCACTTCTAAGTGTTGCCTACAGTCCACCCTTTCGATTTAATTTGATTGCGGCCCTTCAACAATCACTGACAAATTACGGTTATGAAAGTATTGGATACTGGACGTTCTTCGCGGCCGATGATGCAGCAAGAATAATAGAAAGAAATGTAGACAGCTTTATCGATCTTCTGTTTGCTGCAAATGCAACACTTGCAAGAACAGATGTTGCACCAGTTGGTAAAATACGAGCATGGCTAAATAATAACACACGAACAGATCGAGCTGCGTATATGACAAAAGAAGATTATGGTACACTTCGTGAATATCTTGCTAGTGGAATGCAACCGAAACTGAATTGGTTCCATGTAGTAATCGATAATCTCGACTGGGATTACGAGAAAACGTTTAATGCGACAGTGCAACGACCAGTGCTTTACATTGGGGGTCGCAGAGATTATATCGGAATTATCGGTGCTGCGGAACGACAAAAGGCCTATGTAAAAGATTTGAAAATAGTCGAAGTAGACACTGGACATTGGGTGATGGAAGAGAAGCCGAACGAAGTTAATCGGGAGATTCATCAATGGATCAAAACAGTTATGTCGAATAATTCTCCTGCTATCATCTTTCTCTGGAAGTCCTACCTTTATTTATTTATTCTGTTTCTATTTCTGACCATATAATTAAATAAACTTTCTGCACTATACAGCTAATCATACACGCAGTGTTTACAATGTTAATCTTCGGACGCTGACACTGTCTTCTCCCCGTACATCACTATCGATCGTACTTTTACTTACACCCATAATTGCGCTCACTCTTGTTTTTCCAATAGGGTGTTAGGTTACAAGATGACATTTCGTCATGCACAAAAAAGGAAATCTTCTATTCCCCAACGTGTGCATCGATGTGTTGACGTTTTGAGTAAACATTGAGAACAATAGTACGTTTCGGTTCCGCACGAAACTAATATTTACATCCTCTTTTCGTTCAACAATGTACACGCGTCCATGGATTTGTGAGTCTGTATGAAAGTGTTCATTTGATTTTCAAATCAGATCAAGTATTTTGTGTAACAACCTGTTAGTAAAACATATTATTACGAAATAATGAGTCACTCTGATGATGCAAACACATTTCCATCCTCTATTAAAAAACTGAATCAAGTAGTTCATGTCTTCTAAGGGCGCATTGCTTGTATCGGATTTGCGGGAAATGTTTCTCGCTTTCATCTTCTGGATCTAATTGCTGGTTTATTATTTCGGAAATATAGCCAAATAAAAGGATAGCATTTCGTTTTTATCTGTGTTAACAAGGAGGACAATGCGTGAGAATGTAGGTGTGAATGGGAGAAAATCAGTTTTCTGACTCACAAAGGTGTAAATGAAGGCAAAAGTGGGCGAGATTTTTTTTTAATGCCATGTTATTTCCGATGTGACGCTATTTTACTTTTTGTGAAAGAAATGCGAAGGCGTTGGTGACACGACAGATGAAACGAAATTTTCAAGTACTTTCATTGTTTGTTCTGCATAAAACGCGAGTTGCATCACGCCCGTTTCCTTTCTCTGATTGCCTCAAGGCTAAATGTTTCATAATCATACGCCTAACTGTAATTCTATCGAAATTTCTCGAATACATAAGTTCATGTATAAAAAGGCAAAGAAAAACAATAGTACTCATTTTTTTAAACACAAGGATTTCATCATCTTTGATCCACTTTCTGCATGAACAGAATGAAGCTGATTTGGTATCTTGTCATCTGGGTATTTTGTGTCGTTCAGAACGTGATCGACAGCGCTCATTTTCGTGGTGGTATCATTTCCTGGTACGTACAATCACTTTGATTATATGTTTTTCTATTTTCTTTGATCATAGGCGTCCATTAAATAGTACACCATCAGGCAGCACTGCACAAATTCTCATACATCAAAGATATTTCTGGAATCGAGTATGGGGTAGTTTCACCCCACCGTACTGTACGGAGGCAAATGTCGCCGCTCAGTCACCAATTCCAGTTGGCTCTTTCATGACTTGTTTAGGCAATTGCACAAGTTCTAATTATCCTGGTGGTGGACTTTCAACTATTATGACCACAACAGATTGCCAGACGAATCCAATTATTCAATCATGGGCTGGGGAACGATACGATTTATTGACTCTTACTTTGACAACTTCCATTACAATAGGTTTTCAGTCGAGTGCATGGATGGGCGCCCTATTCTGGGGCGGCGGAGGTGCATGGTCCATTGTCAATAGATTGAACTTAGGTTTAAGACCAGATGGTTATATTAACACCAGTCCTGTTACAAATACATTACCCGTTGTATTTTATCAAAGAAGTGTACCGGTTGTTCACGTTGTGCAAATGGCTGATAATGATGGTACTGATATATTACAATGCCGTTGGTCCAATTCAAATTCGGGAACAAATTACAATCGAGTCGACGAGTGTGGAGGCGTATGCAGTGGACTACCGCCGGGAACCATATTGACAGCCTCCAATTGCACACTATCTTTTACTTTACCATCTGCTAATCTCTATTACGCTTGTGCTCTACAAATCGAAGATTATTATAATAGTCTTGCTACAAATCCGATGAGTTCTATTCCTATACAATTCTTATTCTATGCGTATGTAGCTTCTGGTGGTGCATGTCCACAGCGTCCTCAGATTATCGGCGCTCGTCCAAATAGAGGTGAGAGCATACATATTCTATTTATTGAAAATAAACTCAAATATTTTATTTGATTCATTTCAGCCTGTATCGGAGTTCCAATCGGTAAATACGACTGACATTTAGGTTTTTTTTTCTTTGTCTCTAATCTACATTTCAGGTGTTCAACTGAATGAAACTATCATCGTACAAACATATTGTCCTGGCCAAACAATTGTCGATTTCGTTACGAGTTCACCGTACGGAATGACACATAGTGCTATCAGCAATCCAACTGCCAGTAAGTCTTCCGTTTTCTTCGGTAAAAGATCATATTTCAACTAAAATATTACAGACACATGGATCATGACATTGACGTGGACACCTGTCTCAGCACAATCTGGTCCTCAAGGCTTTTGCGCCGGTGCGTTAGACAATAGCAGTCTCCAATCAGATCCATGGTGTATCACATACTTAGTTGATTACACATCACCAAATCTCATTCGTCCTGCAGTTGTACAAGGAACGGCAAGTCCAGTCGGCACTGTCTTTCAAAATCAGTCCATGTTTCTCATACAAGGTACGTATTTCTGAAAAGCATCACATGTCGTCTCGACTCTCAACGTTATCTTTGTTTTAATAATATAGCAACAAGTTTGGTAGGTCGTCCAAGTCGCAATTCTACCTACATTTGTTTTCACGATGAAGCCACAAATGCATCGGTGCTGTGCTACGATGCTGGATATGCAGCCAATATCATCTACACAGGATACACAATTGTCATTACTACAAACTATACTTGGACACCGGGTAAATTCTATTATGTTACAATGGATAGTGGGTTTGCTAGTGGAAGTGTTTTCTGCCGTAAGTTTTGTTTCTATTCATTTCTACGTATATAATCCATCTGACTTTGAAGATGCTGAATCGGCACCGGTTACTGATCCTACATTTTGGCGTTTCAACATCTGGGATCCAGCAGTTTCGAGTACGACTACAACAACCACCACACCTTTTACGACTGCAACAGTGACAACAAAACCAACATCGACAACAAGTATCAACACTCTCGTAAGTTCATTCATCTTCTGTTCCTATAGAAAATATTCTTGCACTGATCTATAGTTGACAACAACTGGTATTGTCATAACAACAACTACTCCAATTACAACCAATGCAACAACAACATCTACTTCACCTCCAACTACAGCTGGTTTGTAAGAACTTTTTGCAATCGTCTGCCTATTGTGTTTCTCTTTCAGCTCCAACAACACCAGGTCCAACTGCTTCAGCATCGACAACTCAATCGACAGTTGCTGTCATGTATCCAAAAGATTTCGTAAGCTATCTTTTGTAGCAAATAATGATTCAATTTAGGCGCATTTTCTATTTCTATATTGTAGGAATTGGCATGCATGCAAACTATAGCATTGATGACACCGATTGCGTATGTGATACTCGCACCTGCTTATGCTGTGCTACTGTATGCTG